CATCTCCCTACTGAATATCGCCGGGAAGATCTTCGCTCGCATCCTGCTGAACCGCCTCAATAACCATCTGGAACAGGGCCTTCTGCCGGAAAGCCAATGCGGCTTCCGTCGGCATCGTGGGACCACGGATATGATCTTCGCAGCCCGCCAACTTCAGGAGAAGTGCCAGGAGATGCGGACCCACCTGTACTCTACCTTCGTGGACCTGACGAAAGCCTTCGACACGGTGAATCGTGAAAGACTGTGGAAGATCATGCAGAAATTCGGCTGTCCGGAGCGATTCACTCAGATGGTGCGTCAGCTGCACGACGGTATGATGGCGCGAGTCACGGACAACGGAGCTGTCTCAGAAGCATTCGCAGTGACCAACAGAGTGAAGCAGGGCTGTGTGCTGGCGCCTACCCTCTTCAGTCTTATGTTCTCTGTCATGCTGATGGACGCCTACCGCGACGAACGCCCCGGGATCCGCATCGCCTACAGGACGGACGGTCGTCTCCTGAATCAACGGCGCATGAACTTCCAATCGCGTGTATCCACAGCCACCGTGCACGAACTCCTCTTCGCCGACGACTGCGCCCTGAACACCACCTCGGAAGCGGAGATGCAACGGAGCATGGACCTATTCTCCGCCGCCTGCGAGAACTTTGGGCTGGTTATCAACACGCAGAAGACGGTGGTGATGCATCAGCCGCCTCCCAACACAGCCACAGCCCCCGACGCGCCGCAAATCAACGTGAATGGGACCCAACTGCAAGTGGTAGAGAACTTCCCGTACCTGGCAGCACGCTCTCCCGCAACACCAAGATCGACGACGAAGTCGCCAACAGGATCTCGAAAGCCAGTCAAGCCTTCGGTAGCCTCCACAGCGCAGTTTGGAATCGTCATGGTCTTCAGCTGAGCACGAAGCTGAAGATGTACAAGGCAGTCATCCTGCCGACGCTACTGTACGGAGCGGAGACCTGGACGGTGTACACGAGGCAGGCACGTCGACTAAACCACTTCCACCTCAGCTGTCTCCGCCGCATCCTGAGGCTGAACTGGCAGGATCGAATCCCCGACACGGACGTACTGGAACGAACGGGAATCCTCAGCATCTACGCCATACTGAGACAAATGCAGCTGCGCTGGAGCGGCCACCTGGTGCGCATGGATGACGAGCGTCTACCCAAACGACTCTTCTACGGAGACGTCGCGACGGGTTCTCGCCGTCAAGGAGGCCAGATTCGCCGTTACAAGGATACCCTGAAGTCCTCCCTGAAGCGCCTGCAAATCAACCCGACCAACTGGGAAGAGCTCGCTCGCGACCGCCCGACATGGAGGAGAACAGTGAAGACGGGCGCTGCTATATACGAAGCCAACCGCATCGCAGCCGCCAAAGTGAAACGCGAAGCCCGCAAATCACAACTTCGCCCAGTCCGCAACGCTGCCGCACAACCTCTCCCTACGTGTCCTCGCTGCCACCGGACATTCCGGGCACGAATCGGACTTGTTGGACATCTTCGGATCAACTGCACCTCTCGAACTGCGCCAGCCATCGTCCCCCCGCCCGCCTCTTCCTCGTCCTCTCTGCCGCCAACTAACTCTGACACTCCTCCTGCACCACCACTTCCATCCTCGTCGTCCTCCTCCCTCTCCACTGCCCCAGCGACGGCTGTTCAGACTGCTGTCT